CCCCAAAACCCCAAAACCCCAAAACCCCAAAACCCCAAAACCCCTTTATCTTCAAAGTCTGCTGAATCTGCTAATTTATTTACCAATAATCGTTTTAATTTTGTTCGAGTTCAGATATAGCAATAAGACTCAGCTGAATGTCTGGAACATGAAGTGAGTGAAGATAATCACCCTGTTTCTTACATACGCTGCGCACAAGAAACTGATGAAGTATACAATGGGGAAGCCGAGTACGTAGAAAGAGCCAGCGAAAGTGAAGAGATTGAAGAATTTCTTTCTACTCCGCTTTACCTCTTTTCTACTGATATTTAAGGCAAAAATAAAGATTGCGAAAAGAATAAGTCTTAGTGCAACTAAAATAAAGCCTTGGATACCACTGTAATCGTGATATTTGTGATGCTCATCTCTGTCTAAGGAGGTCAGGCCTGCTATGAGGATATGCATCACGAGTGTCATTATTGAAATCACAATAATAGTATCCTTATCTGGAAGAGTGTAATAATTTATAGTCCATCCAAAAGCCATCAGAAGCAGGAGGGTAACTATTATTGTCTGGCTACCAGTTTGTCATATCGTGCTAAGTACCTCAAAAGTTGGCACTCCCTCACCATCAAATTCATACACAGAAAAATGCAAAACATTGAACAAGATATGTCCAAATTCTAATATCAGAGCTATGATCAAGACTCCTAGAGGGGATTCCCAACTCTCTTCTTTCTTAATCTCCTTGAAGTATCCATATACGCTATATCCCAGGAAGATTATGAAGATTAGAAGCATAAAGTAGTTCATAGAGAGAAGTCCCCAGTCTTCTTGAGAGAAATGCTCTCCTCCATTGAATCCTTTAAACTCCATCCATATTTTTGGCAGCCATGGCTTGGTAACATGATATACTTTGTTTCAATTGATTGCTGCTACAAAATACACTGTAGTCCTTGCATTATTCATGAAGGTCATGATTTCAGGTGCAGACCAGTATCCATCTCCTTTAAACATCACATATTTAGCATTCTTTGCTAGGGAAAGTCTCTCTCTACACGATGTTTCTTCTATAGAGATAGTATTAAAACCTTCTCATGTCTTCAATGAATCCAAAGGGCGGGGTTTTGCTTACCTTTGAGGAACTCGTCCCAATTATCATCAGTGACAATAACATAATGTAATGTATAATCTTTATTAACCTCATCTCCTGCTAACTCCTTGCTAAACCCTGCTTTAAAGTGGAACTGAGCTTTATGACCTTCTCCCACTGAGAATTTGGTCAAGAACACATAATCCTGGTCGCTTGTATACTTAAACAGTTTAGATGCCTTCAGGGCTTCTGCTGGGACCAAAGCTAGCCCGATCAGGACAATTATGGCTACAATTCTGTTGCTCCAAGTCTTCATTGGCTTCTTTAAAAAATTATTGTATTCTATTTTCTTTATTTGTTAAGGGGTTTTGGGGTTTTGGGGTTTTGGGGTTTTGGGG